CCAAATCACTAGTGTATTTGTTTGCATGATTATTTATTTCATGTTCTCTTTGGTACATTTCCCAAGGTAACTAACTTGAAGAGATTCTATCGATGGTTAATCATGTGGTAAGCCACATCGTAACCTACAGACCTCGGCCACAGCAAAACCTCGGCGATCGGCACTGGAAAAATCAATTTTGACAGCTTACTGTATGTTTCTCAGTCTTTGGTGCTGCCATCTCCATTCGGTTATCCAGAATCTGTAAAGCTGGAGATTCATTGCGAGTGGAAATGGACCGTATAACGATGGAGGAGTGAGCAATAGAAAATAAGCTGGGATATAGTAAGTGGAAATTTCACGTTGTGAACGTTCTGCTCCATGTGATGCCAACGATTTTCTTACTATATGAAAGTCCTCCCAGAAAGGTCTTCTTAGAGCGCAATCTCGATCAAGTAACCTAGTAACTTGTCGCAATCAGAAGAGAAATGTTTCCAACTTTTTTATAAACATACAAAGGGTGTCATCTTGCACTCAAAAATGTTATCGCACCTCATCTCTTCAAAAGAGACATATCTTTTTGATTGAGTGCACAGACTAGCAACCAAATGGCTGATTTCATTAAAGTGCAGATCCTTAGAAGAACAACTCCTAAATTTGGAACTGGTTTCGCTGATTTTTGAAGAATTAGAGATGATTCGATGATAACTTACAACAGATTGAACAAAACTAGCTACTTCAACAAACGTTTCCTAACATTACTGCAAAAAGCTACATGGATTCCCCCGGCCCGCATGTGAGAACCAACACAGGCGCTCATATAGCCTCAGATCACCACTTGCTGGTCACAAAATCAAACTAAAACTGAAGAAGTACTGAACAACAGGATGATAACATCACAACCGTTTAGTACGGCCTTTCTTCGGTATACTGACAAACTCAGAGAATTAGGAATGGCCTTCAGCAGTAGGTTCCAGGCTTTACACGATCTATTCGATGGAATAGAAACTACTATGACAAACAGTTGGAAAGGGATTAAGCAAGCAATCACTTCAACATGTCGGGAGGCTCTAGACTACTAGAATCGCCATCACAAGGAATGGACATCTGTTGGTACTTTTGAAAATTTTACGAAATGAGGAGTAAGAAGGCAGAAATCAAAATCAGCGGAACAAGAGCAGAGAAATTTAAGATACAAACGAATATACAGAAGCGAACAAGCAAGTGATGAGGAGCATCAGAGTTGACAGACAGAAATATGTGCAAGATCTAGCAGTGATGGCGGAAAAGGCTGCAGGAGAAAAAAACTTGAGACAATAGTACGATACAACAAAGAAGCTCGCTGGAAACCATCCTAAACTAGAACGACCAGCGAAAAACAACGATGGCAAAGCAGACAGCAAACAAGTCGGTAGAGAACTTTTGGGAACCCTTGAATCGACCAGTTCCACTGAAGCCACCCAACATCGAAGCAGCATCCACAGACTTGGTAATCAACGTTGGCCCATCAAAAATTCAAGAGATTATCATGGCCATCAGAAAAATCAAGCGTGGCAAAGTACCAGGGCCAGACTAAATTCCAGCAGAGGGAATGAAAGCAGATGTGGCAGCAAGTGCAAAACATCCCACATCCCTTTCAAAAAGATTTTGGATGAGGAACATGTACCAACAGACTGGAAAGAATGATACCTCTTTAAAATACCTAAGAAAGGCGGTTTCAGCAAGTGTGAGAAATGCATCATTACCATCATTACTCTTTTCGCAATACCAGGTAAAGTCTTAAATATCATATTGTTCAACAGAATAAAGGACTTCGTAGACGCCCATCTTGGAGATCAGCAGACTGGATCTCGTAAGGATCGATCGAGTACCGACTAAATTACAACATTTCGGATCAGTGTGGAAGAAGCCCTCATTTGGAACCCTCAAGGACAAAGTCAAGTAGGAAGGCCAAGAAACAATTTACGCTGGGAAATGGATACAGGCATGGCAAGAATGGACAAAAATCGGACAGAGCTTGAAAGGAAAGCCTTGGACAGAGCATGTTAGAGAATACTAACCTTCGGCCCATACTTCATTAGGGGTAACAGGGGTAAATAAAAAGTGATTCCAAACCATCACATCACCACCGTATCTATCACGGTAACCCTCTAAAAATTCTGCATCATAGAGTAAACTGCCAGGTACACGCTCACTTTTGATCACTAATAATCACAGCTGTTTGGAAATCTCTCCCATCCGAAGTGACCACAGCCTTCATAATGGGCAGTTTCAAGAGGAGACTTAACTGCATGTATTCACATACGGACCAGCTGTGCTTGATGTATGTATCGAAATCCGTTTGACGTCATCATTATATTAGTTCATATCACAAACTTGTTCTGTTCTGCTTTTTATCAGCTCTGTTTCCTGCTTCACCCCCTTTCCTTCCACACTATCTTCACTATCAATTACGCATTTGGTTTTGAAAACATTCGTTTTCTTCTAGCGCTAGAGGTTTATCTTCAATATTCTTCACGCTGCAGCCTATTAATATCCGGCTTGTTTATGTGATAACTGTTTGCATCCTAAGTCCCTGCTGTCTTGAGACAAAGGCACTCACTTTGATGACAATAACAAATTCCGAAATAGATGCCAAAGTGATTATAGTTAGTGCTGTTGAATGACTAGACTACCATCAATTCGCGAATGGAATTATATCGAAACAATGGGAACAGAGCGCAAAGAAATCAATCGGTCTAGCTCTTGAAAAAGATATTGGAATTTGAGTTGTAGACATAGTATGTTGTTTTAATGTTTCTTACGGTAGTATAGTTTAACAGTCGTATCAGTTAACACCTACACTATGACCCTAATTCGTAAAATGTTATTCGGAATAGATTTTACAATAGTATTTTTGTTAGGCTTCTGTCTAACAAAGCATGTTTGCAAAATTCCTCGGACTGCACCAATGGTAAGGAAGTTGTTTCTAAGCCTTGCAAACTAGATTCATGCGACATCAGATAGTTCTGTATCGAAACGAAGCACACCAAACACTCAGTTGAAGTTTTTTGTTGAATACACGTCAGGATTTCAAACTAATCCTCTTTTCGAACAAATAAAAGTTAGTTGACATAAAGTGTTTCAACTATGTCTTTAAAACTGCTACTATTTCATTTTTGTAGTTTATGTCTGTGAAGGTGCATTAGAGGTCTATTCTTTACTTTCAGAAATGTCATTTGATATTTGCATTTCGTTCAACATGTACCTGAAAGTATTGAGACTTTTTACAACAACAGACAGCTAATCACTAACTGACCTAAAAAATTGTTACTTTTCCAAGTTATCCGCGGCAGTACTATTTAATTGATATAAAAAAATCACTCAGTTTAAAGTTTATAACGTTTTAAAACTGAATCGATTTCCGGAATCCTAATTAATGTTACTTAATAACTAGATGAATTTTAGAAAATTACCCTCGGCTTTTGATACTTGTTATAGTATTTAATAAATTTGTAGTGTGTGCTGCAATGCAGAAAACCCGTGATTTTTAATGCAACTTGGCATGTGCGATTGCAACACTTTTTGTACAATTTTAAGTGATGTGTTTTTTTATTGAGACGTTTTGTCTAAACATATGTTGATCTAGAAAGTGCCCCACTTGTGAAGAACTGAGTACAATAATGAACACGTTCTTAATGTTATACTTAAATAAGCGGTTTATCTAATCTAATTCGAAATCGTTTTTTACTCTGGTAAAGACTTTAAAAGCAAGAGTGTTTTTTTGCATGTTTTTCAAAGATTGAAACAAAATTACTAAGTTTCATGTGATCAGTTCCTTTGAAGAATCTCAGTTCAAAAAGATCAACAAACCTTGTGAGAGAGACTAAATTTACTTCATTACGAATAAAATGTCTTACAAATGTTATTCTTTGCTGAGTATATATGCATTTATTTAGTTAACCCGCACGAGTTCGATTTATAAACGTTCTGAATCGGAACCAAAGTCTCATTGTTGTGAATATGTTTAATATAGTGGTAAAATAGGTATCAGTTACCAAAATATTATAGTGAAGCCATAATTATAATATTTTAGTTTCGGTAATATGGTCAGTCCATCATTTGACCCGAGTTAATCCTTGCAAGTTACGTATCAGTGGAGATCTAGCTTTTTCTTTAAATTGTTCATTGATGGGAATGATATCACTTGTGAGACGTTCCGTTCACTGAAAACTCGATGTGAAAAACAGAATCTCACTCTGAGTTTATTGTATTGCAATATTTTGGCCTTATTGTAGTGGCTCCATAGATGATTAATTCTGGAGGGAACAAAAAGATAAGACATGTTAACACCCAAATTGTTGTTCACGATACAGATTACCAAGATAGGATGACCCCAAGTTTTGTGATAGGATAAGGAGAAGGGATTTCGGCATTTCAAGCAATCATCGCAAGGAAATTCAGATTAACCCTCCACAAACTTAGTTTCAGCCATCTGGGAACGTTCAGGTGCGATAACATCCTTAGTCAGACAAGGTCCAGCTGCTTTACTGCAATACTCTAGGTGAGGTCTCATATAGATGTGGTATAAAATCCGAAAACTATCCTCATCCAAGCATTTAAAGTGCTCAGTAAATTAACAACAACACTCGAATACTTTTATCGGCTTTTGCATTACAACGTGTAGTAGTTTCCAAGTTTTGACTTACCATTACTCCCAAAAATTTTTATTCTTGCACACTTGCTTGCGACGTACCGTTGATAGAATACAGGTAACTAATGCCATGTACCATGTAAATTTGCACTCTACTTCTAGAGTTAATTTCTAAGCTCTGACAATGAGATAATCTGACTATTTCGTCTGGATCAGCTTAAAGATCAAGATGATCAACGTCACTACTTATTGTTCTCCAAAATCTGACAAGATTGGGGTAGAGATAGCGACAAACAAAACATTATGGCAGTTTTCAGTGAAAAAATTAGACTTCTGTTGCTGAAAGGAGCCCAAAATCAGATTATCTCTGTTTTATTATTATTTCAAGCTCAAGAAATTTGCAGTTGTTTGCTGTGATTTATCAACCTTAAAATCCGAAAAAGTCGAAGAGCAAAATAAGCAGAGTTCACCTAGATTGTCTCTATTATGGTATATGAAGGAGGTATTGTTACAATATTTCAAATTCCTCAATGCTTGTTAAATCACATCTTTTGGTCTGGTATTTTCCGGTTAGACTATAAGCATATCAGTGAGTTGTAGAGTTAGTTAACTGACTTTGGCTATAGCTACTTACTGATAATACTTTTTACTTATTTGAAATTGTGAATATTTCATACGGTTGATCAATGACTTTTCAGTTTATTCATAGATACTGATGAACTGAATCTTAACATCGGGGTTTTATTTAGGCCGTGAAACCTCAGAAAGTAGGTTACGCTTTGTCGTAAATGATCAAGAGTCGTCTCCTATGTTATCCAGTTCTATAGTAACTCATTAATCTTCAGGGCTATATGTTTGTCTCACTTGTCTAAAATGAGGCAGAAAGTTTCTTTCACGTAACATTTAAGACCTATTTTGTACAAATATGTTCGTAAAACATATTAATTCTGCAGCGTAGGAGCAAAAGTAATTTATATATTATTACATTATTATTTAGTAAAATATTCATTCATAGTTAAAACCACCACAAAATATTCACATTATTTATATTTCAGAATTATTTAAGCCAGTGCATTTTAGTTACCGTGATATCATAGATGTTGGTCATTTTGAGTAATGTGTCTGTGAATATTTGCATGAACTCTATGTAGACTTGATGTTCATATTATAATTTATATTTGTTTCAAACCATCCAACAGGGAATAGATGTTGGTCAAATATGATTATTTATTTGAGTGAAATAAAATAAAGTATACAGATATATGAACCCATTTATCAATTTTTAAAAATCTGAAGAATCCTGATAGTGGAAACCTGGTAGATTGCCGGTATTGCTACTTAATACGGTTGTGGATTCGACAGTTTACTTGCTTCTGTAAGGCAGAACAAGGACCAGTACTTTTAAACGCAAGAAAGCAAAAAGGGATTTTAGACGGAGTTGATTATGCATCAGGTAAAAATCCGCAAGCGATAAAGACAACGTCAGTAATTTAGTGTAACTACCTTGATCAATGAGGTCCCTAAAACTAAGAGAATTTATTTCTTTTCTTAAAAAGATATTACAGCTAGTGTGATAGTCATGCGTACCGCTGTATACTTTCCAAAAAGGTGGCTTTATTCAATGTGTTTATTCACTTAAATTTATCCAAAAATGTTGTACGAAGTTTGAATGGTTTAAATGCATTTTTTAATTGGTGTTTTTAAATAAAAATCTTTCATAATATGAAGACTACTTGCAGTTAAATAACAGAGAAAGTAAAACTATTATCTACCAGTTTCAGAGGTCTTAGGAGGTGTAGACGTTCCTTATCTAGGTTTCTAGAAAACAAAAATTTAATTTCGAATATTGTAGTCATGATGCCTTAGATTTATTTCATCCATCTCGGTAACTGTACAGATAAATGCAAATTTTAGTTTCTTATTATTTGATCTAGGTTGTTTCGACGACAAAGTTTTAATTCTACATTTGCTACTGTTCACATAGAATTAATTTATTATTTGAATCTTGTGTTATCAAATCATTGGTTTTGGTCTTTCCAAAGTTTTTTCAGATAAGCATGCTTAGGTAGCGGTATGTTTGCATAGCATTTAATTTATCAGAAATAATGAATGGTTGATAGATCTTTGTATTAATTTGGATGTGAAATGTTTTTTCACTGTGAAGTTTTGGTTCAGAAAACGTTTTTAAAGTGAATAATTGATCTCAATTGTTTTGAATTGCAGTTGAGTACTTTTCATGAACCTAGTAAAATATTATTTCTGTTTCGTAGATAACCAAGAGTAACATATTTGTAATGTTTACAGTGAGAGTATTTTTATGTTATATTATTGAGATCCTTGACCCCACAAGTACGTCATTTTATGAACACTTTTTTCATTATATAGTGCATAATCTTAAATTGGTAGTACTTTATTTGTCATGCAACAATTTAGTGAGAGAAAAGTATCGAAAATTGATGTGAAATTTATGAATCATGATAGTTAATAAGGTGGTGATGTTCATTGATGAAGGCTTGCCTGATTATTGCCATTATCGATGGTAATCATTGTGTATATATGGTTTTATTTTGCATCGCAGAATTTCAAACCATTTCCCTTATGTGATTAATAAAGGATTTGTATTGTTTTTAACATCAGTTTATGATTTTATGAAACACTGTATGTTGATGATACAAATTGTAATAATTGTTTCTACACATTTTACAGACAAAAATTGTTCTACCTTCGCTCACGTACTGGGAAAAAACACTAGGCGTGAAAAAGATTGCTTCAGACAATATAATACTTGAGAGGTTAGACAGATATATTTTTTAATTCTGAGAATATTTTATTTTTATACATATTTCTGATGTTACAATAGAACAATGAGTAGACGAAGTTAATCTATCAAAGTTTATAAAAGGGACTGATTGCTTTAGATGTCACAATCGTTTTAAATTAGTTAGAATACAAGCTTCTGAAATAATCTAATACTCAATCAGAAGATTTTATTTAAAACATTTTAGGTTGGAAATTTTAGTTAGAATATAGCTTCTAGTTGGTGAAGCTGAATTTGACTAGAAAATATAAAATGTGAAATATTTCCACTTCCTACTCGTTGAATGTGTATAATGCAATATTTTAAGTTTTCTCGTTACGTTATTCATTGTGAGAATCCAGGTAATAACGCACGTTAAACGTAAGTGATATAATATTCCGAGTATACATACAGATAAATAATTTTCATTTAGTGGATAGACCTTGATGAGACTTATTGGAACATCCAAATGTTGTGACTCATGACAGGGTAGAAGAAAGCTGATGGTGACCAATATAGAACAATGTGTCAGTCTGTGAATGTATTAACTGTATGAATGAGCAGTGTAAGCAGCTTCAGCCTATCTGGTCACAGTTTTCGTGATTTTTATAAACAGTAGTTACAGACCATATGACATTTTTTTGTGAATATTGGTTTAAATTTGAAAGAATAGGTTTACAATAGTTGAGAACGTTTAATATCTAGTTAACAACTGAGCTACGTATTTATATTGGGTAATTTATATGTTTGATCATATTTTTTTTGAAAATATTGAATCTGTTTACCGAAGGAGACACTGGAGTTTTAAAGTTTATTCTCTGGAATGTTTTGCAGAAATTATTTCCGTCATTTGTTTGATATAGTTCTGAACTATTCATTCACTCTTTGTCTTTTCTTAGATCGTAAGTTTTCAAATCATCTAAAAATAATTTTATCACACGAATCCCCACTTTTCCTCTTGTACCATATTTCCTATGTCTAATCTTCTTCATTGCCACCAATGCTTTTACTACTTAAACTAATCCAACGTCTCAGTGTGCTTATGAAACAGCCTAAACCAGTACACACATCAAGTTTTACGCACTGATGACCGACTGACTTACTGACTTTAAGTAGTGAATCAGTTTATCACAAGAATACAGCTGAATATTGTTCACCGGTAACAATAAATAAAGTTACTGATTGAGGTTAAAATACTGAACTATTCATAAATTTTTTAAATCATATTTATTCTTTTATGTGAATGCTAAATTGTGTTGTGTTTTACAAGACAATGTTTGGATGGACAGACGTCATATGTAAAATGGCCAAACGGTACAATCGGTATATATTGTAATAAAGGTTGTGAAAATATCACAAGGTGTTTCACGGAGCCTATACCTGATAACTATCTTAATGTGAGTTAATTTTAGATTTATCTACATTTGTGATTACATGATGTTTGATTATTTAGTCATCAGAAACCGAAGATTCTATGTATACAAATTATATTAGGCTTAATGCTGAAATCATCTTCCCCCTTTTCTTATCTGGTGAATTTGATGTAATTTCATCCTAATAAGATCAGTTGTCAATAAGAGAAAAAATGAACAAAATACTAACTAGATAAAACAGTCATAAGGTATACTTTTGAATATCTCAGATTCGTCCATTAATCAGTTTACTTTCTGAGCGACTAGTTGATGAGTTACGAGGCGCCTATTGGCACTAAATGTTCGGAAGTACGTAAATTGGTGAGGAGATTTGTGTTCTTTAAGATGAAGTTTAGGATAATTCAGTATAACCTTTCATTTATCACAACAGTGCTCAATGATTTGAAGGCTTCCTAAGAAATAAGATTGAGCTCATTTGTTTTTAACCTTTCTGGAATTCGGTCTGCAACGTACAGTACAGTTTTATCAAATAGAATGTAGTGTGTTTTTTATTTTGAAGTTCAGTTGGTATCTGTTTGATTTCGGCTATTGAAGTAAGTAGTTGGTAATATTTACGACTTAAATGAGACCCTAATTCAAAAATACTGTTGTAGTTTAAATTTCGGAAGGTCATACAATTAATCCGATAGGTTTTTCAACGCAAAAATTGTGTTTAGAATACCGTAGTTTCTAATGAGTGCTTTGTTTGCCTTCCAGAGAATTAGTTATAGAGTCAGATGCGCATAAGGATGTAGTTATTATCTGATTCAACCTTACTGCTTTTTGGAAAGATAAGAAGTGACATTTGAGGTTGTATTTAAGAGTTACTCTAGTAACTAGTTCTCTTTACAGTGCATAATTTAAGTGAGTTTTTAGTTACTAGACAAAGTATTATAGTGAAAACACTACATGGATGATTATTCAGGAAATTATTTGTTTACATGCAATTATCCTGCAGGTGATGAGTTTAACTTATTTTATTTACATTCTCACAGGGATGTAAGCAGTTTATTAACAACAAGCCCAACATCCAAGGAACAAAAGGAGTTGGAATAGCACCAAATGGTTATTTGGTTTTTGTCGATGCTTCAGCAACTGAACCGTGTCAAAGTGATGAACTACTGGCTTATGCACTGGCGTGTCAACTTGAGTTTGGCACTGACAGGTAGAAGGCTTAATGTTTAGTATCATCTACTTTTCCGATAACAGTCTTTACGTTAGTGATGTTGTAAAAACAGAATTATGTCAAAGATAAATTAATTGATCTTATTGGCATGACAAGATTGATCAGTTAGCTATATTATTCGTTCGCTATGATGTTTAACTATAGTGTGATTCAATTCAATTTCATATTCCATATAAACTAGCTTTCTACGCAGTGGTAGATGAGAATTTCTTTCGTTCAGCCATCTTTTTCATATTGGTTAAAAGATTATTTGGAGGAGGAGTCCCATACCGGGACGAAACGGCCGTTCAGTGCTTCCAGGTTTCTAATGGTGGTCTAACATTGATCGATTCATAGTTTCGAAAAATGTGTAACTTAACAGTCTTCACAACCTCGTAATGTAAAAGATTATTTGTTATCCATGAAGGGGATTTATCGAGATTGTATGATTATCACAGTTAGAATCATGAACCGATCTTAGCTAAACCACCATTAGAAATCTGGAACGATTGGACAGCCGGTTCGTCTTGGTATGGAACTCGTCGGTAGTGCTCATCTACGAGTCCCGCGTGTGGGGATTGAACCTAGGACCTTTGATCTCGTGCGCGAACGCCTTACTTCCAGTCAATTGTGTCGGTATCCATTTGTGTTAATGTATAACTTCAACTAATCCATGATGTTTCGCAACATCTCCTGCCAAGTTTATTTTCTGGAATATTTTGAGAATTTTTTCTCTGTTTGATTTATTTTGTTTGAGTCAGTAAACACTTGCATTGTTAACAATATTTTATTTTTTCAATGCAGGCCGGTGGCGGGTTACGTTAACATGTGTCCAAATCAATTGTCAGTTAAACCAGAAGACATTCGTTCAACCATTTCTACTTTTATTCATGAAATGGGACACGCATTGGTTAGTTGTTTAATCATTCACGCTAGCATTATAAGTTATATAAAACCTGAAGCATGTATACACTGGAGTATTTACTGTGATAAATTAGTGCATTTGAGTTATGGTTAACTAGTGCACCTGCGAACTGGAAAAGATATGCACCAAATTGAAGAATGATTCATTTAGTCTCCAATTTTTGTTCGCTAACTTCCTAGATTGGAGAACAAATTCAAGCTACAGCTCCTTGTAAAGTAACTTACAAATGTCGACCATAGGTTATTCGTAAATGTTAAGGCAACAATAATAATGATAAATAATGGCCTAAAAGAATAGTGCTAATTCACAAATCTATGTTGTATTTATGATAATACTTTTTATGCTTTGACAGTATTCTCACGTTTTTCTAAACTTATCACCGTTAGTTTATTTCTTCTGCTTATTAAGTGTATATTCTTAGGAAAGAAGGGAAACTGATTTTATTATTCATAAGGTATAAATGTTCCTCTGAAAAAATAAGCTCTTTCCAGTTTTGTTTCTAATTATCTGGCACGATCGTTCGACAGTTAATGAGCATATTGTTTCATTTTAGAGGTTATTTTATGTATTCATTAGTGCTTTATTTATTAATAAAGTATACAAGTTAATTTGACCAAATTATCCATTTTTAAAAGTATGATTATTCATCCTAATTGCCATAACATTAAAAGGTCATTTTGTTAAACATTATCTGTGCATAAAACTTATTTATTTACAGGGATTTTCAAGTTCATCCTATGCATTCTTACGTCAGGAGGACGGTACACCACGCACACCTAGAGATCCTCAAACTAACTTACCTGCACTTGGTCAGGATTCAGACTTTATTTATATAGCCAGGTAATTTTTTTTAAAAATTTTGTTGTTAGCAGTTTATCAGAAAAACTTTGTAGACACCCAACTTTGGTATGGACAGAGAAGATTTATATTTGATGGAACAATCAGACATCTTAATATTCGGTGAAAACGATTAACTTTGAATATCAAAATATATTTTCTCACTACTAATAAATAATAGGTTTTTGTGATGTTTAGTATCATGAGAAATTTAGCCGTTTTACTTTTAAAATTCAGTTTATCATATATGATTTCACGTTTTAATAAATTGTCCCTTGGTGGTTACGATTTAACCAAGTTCTCTGAGCAAAAATGAAAAACATTTTTTCTCATAAACTATTTAATATAAAATCAAAAATATCAACTTCTATAAGTTTGGTAAATGCTTCGAATGCTGATAAACAGTTTGTGTGAGTTCACTGCCTCTAGTTTTGAACTTTGAACACGCAATGTTGATCGCTGCTGACTAAACATAGGCTGGTTTAACAAAGTTGCCCACTAATTTGTGAATCGGATTTCAGAGGTGACAGTTTATTCCAAGTTTCGTAAGATGAGCTAGATTCATATCTTTGAAATGACTTCACAAAGAAAATTCTCTTGACTGAGAATTTACAGTTCCGTTTTCTAAATAAACTTGCGTATCTTAAATATACAGCAGGGTTTTTATCAGTTTATTTACTTCAATACGTTTACCTCGAGAAGTAACTATTTAGAGCTTTTTTCAAACTTAAATCGCCCAAAATTATTACACAATATCTGTTTCCTGTATCCCAGCAAATCGACTGTTACAAAGGTTCAGAGAATATGGGTTTCTGCAGTGTCCACAACTATTCGTAGTATAAATGCTTTTGTTCTTCCAAGCGTATTGGTAAGTTAATTTTAAATTATGATTCGTTTTTGGTTACTGGGCATGATAATGATACGAACAGACGTTATGCTGATAATTTACTACACTAGCTTGTGAACGAAAATACTTCTATCCTGTAACTTTTTTTACGATAAATGATATGCCTTTCAGTTTATGTAGTTGAAAATTTATTTCGTAATTTGTACCATTATTAGAAATAAGTTTGTACTCCAAGACGATTTTATGGCTATGGATTATAAGCAAACGCTTCAGTGAACATCTGTTAGTGAATACTTGAATCTTCTGGATGATGGCTGTGGTATTTCTCCAAGTTTCCGCCCCGTACAGTAGAACTGTCTTGACATTTGTATTGAAAATGATGACTTTGGTGTTTGTTGATAGCTTTTTTGAGCTCCAGATGTTGTTCAGTTGTTAAAATGCAGCCTTTGATTTTCACATCCGCGCCTTCACATCTGCTGAGTCTAGTTTCTGATTCACAGAAATCCAAAGAATTTGTACTGTTATTCAGTCTTATTGTGATTTCGATTGTATGCTGATGACTGGTAACCGTTTAGATTCAGAGATGACCTTAGTCAAGAAACTAATGAAAACCAGGAAATAATTATCTCTATAGCTGATGGAGTCTTGGATGCCTGTATCTGAGTAATCTCACAGTAAGACAGAACAGCTGTCCAGTGTTTCCTAGTTTTCATTAGTTGTATATCTAGTATCAGTGCGTGACATAAACGTTTGTTAATCGTTTGGATACAATCTCAACTCCAAGGAAATTGAAAAAGACAGATTTCCTTAGTCTATGCGAATAAGCAACAAAGCTTGAAAGTAAGAATGGTCGGTAATTTCATTTGATAAGTTGTCTTGATGTAAAAGAAAGTTGTTTATGGCTAGGATTAGTTGGTACATACTAACTTTACGCTTGAGATTGACTCGGAATAGAAATTAGTGAGGATTCTATTGTAGTCTTCATTTACATACTTCGTAAAAGCAAGAGGAACTGGCTTAATTGTATGTAGTTTCTCTTTGTTGTATTTTTTATTTGTTATTTATTTGATTTTTACTCACTTACTTTTGATATTAATTTCTTCCCTTCTTTATTTCTCCAAATTATTATCTCTTTATTTGTGTTGTACTTACTATTTATAGCTTGATCATGTAAGAATTAGGGTGGCTAAGTAAAATAAAAAAACAATCTAAAAGTAGTATTACTTTGTATGATAATCTGAAAAACATAATAAATCGAAATCTGGTAAATGTCGGTTTACATTATACATTAATGATTCAGAAAAAATAAATTTAATTTACATTTATTATTCCTGATTACGAATTGTACCCACTATAATATCTAATATTACAGTGCTTATTATTCAAGTTGGTATTGTATAGATTCTCAACTCGTTTAAAAAAGTATTCATTGTTATCACTTCTAAGATATCTATTTAAATTTGTCTTTTAGGCAGAAGCCAGAGCTCACTACAACTGTCCTACAATGGATGGAATGGATTTAGAAGATGATGGAGGATCTGGGACAGCTTTTGTTCACTTTGAAAAGAGAATTACTGAAGTAAATTAGTGATAGCTGTCACACATGATGTCTGTTAAAACATTTCAGATTTTATCAGTCCATTTAACAATATAAAATGTTAAAATAGCTCAGAATTTGTGCTAGGTTATTATTTTTGCATTTTTTTAGTTACTTTCGTCAATGATCTTAAGATCTTATTGTATGATCGCATTAATAATGATATATTTTGTGTTTTAGGATGAACTCATGTCAGGAAGCTATTCAAAAGATTCTTATGTGTCCACACTGACGTTGGCCTACTTCAAGGATACTGGGTAATTAAACATTTAATAAACATAGATCCCAATGGAATTGGTGAAATGAAACATATCATGTAACTGATAAGTTAGAGAGACTGATAGCTCAAATCGAGGACAGGACGTTTTCTAAACTATCAGTCTGTTTTTAAGGGTTTTATTACAATCATCACAAGCATCGCAACATTGATAAAACGGATGTTATCCAGAAAAAGTGAATCAAGTTTAAACAACTTGCTTTGATTGTAGTTGAATAAGAAATTTATTTCGTTTCATTGAACGTTCATTATGAGTTATACATTTAGTGTATGAACTGTTGAGTACAGGTAATTATTAGCCTTTTCGAATGCAAAAGTATTCGAGCTGATACGATATCGAACCATGTTTGACGAAAACTGATAACGTTTATCGCTCGAAACACCATTATTATGTAAATATTTTACACTTCTGTCTCTGAAAGATCCTTCTTCAAACAGATGCCCCTTTTATTATTCATGCAATTTATAGTCTATTTATCATCATTAATTCATTCTGTACATTTTTGATGTACATGTTGATGTTGAATATACACGAAGGTGATAGAAATTCATTGCTTAATGATGTGTAAAAGTGAATTTTTTTTAATGAGATGTTTACGGCCTGCACACTAATTTCCTTAGACAAGCTCATGATTAAAATAGTCAATGTGTAGAATATAAATTTGGTGAAATAATCCTTACTTACTTATGTTGCAATCTTTTATGCATATCTTTCGAAATATTGATTGATAAAAAAGTTGGATTCATTAGAATAAAATGAACTAGTAGTCACTATAACCAATAAAAAAGGATTCAAAGAGAAGCAACTAATATTTTTAATTATATCTAACAACCATAATGGCTGTTGTGATTATTGATGTATGCGATGCTGTCTTTGCTCATTTAATTATTCTTCCGTTCACTTTAAAATGACATTTTTCTCAATAATTTAATTTTCACTTATATAATTCTTAAAAACGATATAAACGTTTTCAAATCGTCTATAATTATTTGCAATCCATCTTATAAGTTTCTGAATTATAAATCTTCATTCAACTGACTTTTCAATTATAACCATATAATACTAATCACTGATGTCTTGTTTACTCATCCAGTCATGAAACAGAACACTCGAGTAGCTTTTGCCAACTTACGGGGTAGGTGAGATATCCGTTTGCTAACCAAAGGACGAGTGTACCGCTCAGCAGTTCGCTCCGTCCTAATTTATGGCTGTGAAACATGGCCAGTCAAAGTAGGAGATATTCTCAGGTTACTGGTTTTCGATGATCGGTTTCTCCGAAGCATTGGTCGTATATTTTGGGACATCTGAGTAAGCAATGCAGTCGTTGGGTTGCGGGTACTAGGTAAGGATGGCAGATCAATAGTTGAAGTAGTGAAACTTCATCATTTGAGGTGGTTGGGACTTGTGTTACTAATGCCTAACTATCAACTGCCTCGTCGAGCTATGTTTCGTAGTGTAAGAGTAGGTTGGAAGAAAGCTAGGGGCGGCCAAACCAAAACATGGTAGAAATTCGTGAAGTCACTGACAAGTGAACTAAGTCATGTTCGTAGATGTAGGCTACCAGGTAGGGGTCCGCGAGATGTTGGTAATCGATGGTTAGAGACCTTAAATGACATTGCTGAAAATCATTTGCAATGGCGCAGGTGCATCCATTCTTTGCTATCTCTCAATTCCTAATCTAATGAATTCCTGATGACCATTTTTTCTCTCATTTTAACTGATTCCTTTGGGGTACACATCTTTTTGATTACTTCTAATACTTCACAAAATAATTAATTCCCATTTTATCATCTTATTATCTTCATTGTTGTTCATTGTTTAAGTTTAATTTATTTTGTCAAAAATAAGTGTAGCACTTGTTTTAAATAAAATGCAGGTGGTATAATGTTAACATGTCTATGGCCCAAAATTGGAAATTCGGCAAAAATTGGGGATGTGAATTTGTTCAAATGAGTTGCTATGAATACATGAAGGTTCAGGTAGCTAGGTATGTGGACACTCTTATATGATTATTCTAATTTCTTTTAATATCTAATATTTCATTTTCGTTATGAGCATAAATGTTCGTTTTATTGATGGAAGCATACTTTTCAACACTTTGATTTATTAGTGATCTAAGGATTATAAGAACAGAGTATCTATTTTGGTATTATTAAACGAAATAGTGTAATACCGTTTGAACTATTGAACTTCCTAGTACATAATTCCATGCGGAAACATTCATGTCTAGTACACTATTTTACATAACTTATGAGTTCATTATTCAATGAATGAAACAAAAACAGTATTTTAATTGTTCAAAACAATGAAGGTTTGTATAATAAATAATAATGAACAATAATCATTTCCTTTCGAACTAGAATGAATCAAGTTGTTTAGTTGTCTCTAAATATCTTCAAAACTTTAAACAATCATACCTTATCTGATGGGTACATAAATATTTGGTATTCTTATATACGCATTCAAAAAAACCAAGTAAATGATTGAACTGTTTGTCAAACCTGTTTTCAAATTTCATATAAGCCAGAAACATGTTGAATTTTTTCACAGGAATAAACCCATCACCCCTTATTGCACTAGACTTTCAAGCACTGATATCAAATGCTTAGATTACGATAATGCTTATGGGTTCTGTGATCTTCAGCGCCAAAAAGACAAGGTTCCTCCTGAAAATCAATATTTTACCAGTATAGATGGTGTTTCAGCTTCAGAATTACCTTATTATTCTGGCGGATCTTCATTAAGTGATCGATGTCCAATATACAGGGTTGGTTATGTTTTAATCAGTTTTTTTATTAGATTTATATGAATATGCCCATAATTTGATAATAACTGATTGAACAGTCGTCAAAGTTAACAGTTATATTTTGTCAATCTAATATAAGACGCTACGCAGTTTTTTCAGCGTGCTATAATTAAGAACCAGTTTCCTTGTCGTCATGACTTTCAGTTTACATCTGTGTTGGTATTTCAATATGGGTTTATAATAATTCATACATAAATGAACATTTGTTCAGGTTAGTGAACAATTAAAGTGCAAATGTTTACAGATAATCGGATCCATTCATAATTAAAATTCAGTCAATGTTTGATATGAAAGCGCCCAACGAGGCTATGGTCAGCTTATAGATGTATAATCACGTTTGAAGATCATGAATTATTACTTCGACTTCAAATAGTGGGACATTGAGGAAATTAAATATGCTGCGAACATCATTAGAATTGAGTTTTAGTCATTGAAATCTGGTGACCATGTTTGTAAGAACATTCTGGAGGAACTGTTTGTTTTCTTAGTGTTAAGAAATAAGCTTAACTAGATTTCACGAGTTGATTAAACAGCAGAATAAGTTCTATCACTAGCATCACTATTCAGACTTTCGATGTAAAATGTTAGGCTGCTCAAAGGCAAACAATAAGATCCTATTCTTGGCTGCTTCGATGCATATTTCTCAAAGAACTTGAACATTGCATAGGATCTGATGGAGGACTGAAGTTTCCTATGAGTGAAAATTTGATCTGTTATAAATATCTCTCAAAAAACCCTGTTCAAAATGGTACAACACAGAAAGGAACTAGCTGTTCTTAAAATATTCCAGCTACAGCTGTGCTTTGTTTCAATAAGTGGTATTACTGTCTAAAGCTATGACTGACTAAGGTATTTTATTCACTAAATATTGTATGCTTTCTGAGACTATAAAATGCATTGTAACCAACAAATCAATCTCTAGTAGTCCTCATTTCAACTTTCGGTTAATTCAACTTAGAACAGAACCGTCATCACGTACCATCGTGAACATCTATCTGCTCTTCTACATGTTTAAACTCCATCGACCGTAAACCTCCATTGAATTTGAAATGTTTTGAGTGAATGATCTAAGCCTTTTCCGATTTAGAATTCAAGGGTCAATCACAATAAAAATATTTGTAATTCACGAAGTGGGGGATAAAGCTTCTTCATTTCTTGAACTTAATTATACATTATATGAATAAAATGACTGTCAGTCATAGATAATGTATTATAGTAACGGTTGATTGAAAGTAAAACAACAATAAATCAGTCTGATTTCTGCTTGCCAGTATGTATTAACAATTGAAACTGTTGAGGTTTATATAAATACATTTAATATAGTTTTATATACACGGACTTATAAACGAAGTGGTTTATGGTCAGTAGATGTTAGTTTTGAAATTTTCAAACTAAATAAATCGGAGTAACCTGTCTGATTTCATTTATATTGCAAACACTTTTTATGATTGTGAAAAATCACAGTTCCTATTCCAAATAGTTCAACTGTCTCTAATAGTTTTTCAATTGATTCTATTTAATAAACTACATTATTAGTTGTTTGAGTAAGCTTTCAGTTAATTCATTATTGAATTTGCTATCCCTGAAATATTTACCTAAAACAGCCTCTTCACTCATAACTTTATGAAGAAAAAGCCGTGGTTTTATGATAATTTTATGTGTGTAATTTAATTCATTGATAATTATTGTATTCCAAATTGAAGTAGTGTTCGCGGATTTGATAGTTGTTTAAAATTATATTTATTTAGCCATTTGAACCAGTTACTGGATATAAATATACATCATACTGTCGTCATCCTGAAAATCAAGCTACCATTGGTTTGTGCTTTCTATACTCCCTATATATACTAAATTATTGGTTACTTAAATAAATTATAATAGCTGTTGCGTATAACGACTAAAATTTATCTACACTGATGCATATTTCTAACATTTCTCGGTGTTCGTCATGGTCAAAATGTAATATGCAACAAAAAAATGGATAGAGTGGTGTACTTCATTAAATAGTAATGAATATATTTCACTTTTCAACATACAATGCACAATAACATTTTAAATACTTATGTTTGAGCTTTATTGATAGTTGCATGTTGGTGATGCTCATGTACATTTTTATTAATGTTAATTAACTGATAGTAAAGTTGGGTGTATTTATTAAATAGTAAAATCGCAACTATCATTTTAAAATTAACAGACTCAATGTCAACACAATTTTCATTCGTTACTTACCAAGCAAAACATTCATGTATTTTTTTATTCAGAAATATTATTGTTTATTCAATGGAATGCACATTTAATGAAACAAATAATTATTACATTAAACTGTTGTGATGGAATTTATCTGTTAGGATTATCAAATGTTGTACGTAAACGTTTACCTCACTGTGTAATACTGGCTGATTTGGGAAATTTCCAGCCTAATGTCTTATTTTGGCTTCATTCAGTCACTGCCATTTTATTTGACATCTTTCAAGAAATGTAACATTCTTTATCAGTTTTTGGCTTGTAAGTGTAAGTTGTACATGTTTGTAATATGATTCAAAACTAGACGCAGTGACACAGATGACGGATTCAATATTTCGGTTTTCTAAAGCTTCGAAGCTATATTATATATGCTTATAGTTTGCGTATTCCATTAATTAACTTAACTACTTCACTTTCTTTTGTTTTTTATTACTGCTAACATTTATGTCTTCGGTCAATCCCATTTTCATTTTCCTAACTCACCTACACCTTATTGAAATAAATATAGTAATCTGAATAGTTTTTGTGTCTAAGGCTGTTTATTTCTCTTTTTTTCCAGTAAATATATTAAGTTAAATTTACAAGAGCAGATGACAACAGGGTGAACAATTTTTTTTTCCCTTTTTTCATGAATAATCACCATTCTTCAGTGCATTTGTCAACCACTTGTATTTTAATGCTCACGTGTATAATATTGAGCGAAGTTTAATCATTATTTAATCGATGGGGAAACGTGATTTGTATAACTTAGTTAATCATCAAAACATAAACTGTTTGAGTATTATGATAACACAAAGTTTCAGCTTATGTATATCTGCTGATGAAAGTCAATAAAATTAAAAATGGTTTTGTTATAGTTGTTTCAATGATATTTTTTAAAATTCTTACAACCAAACTTTTGTTTCTATATACATTGAAAAGATGTCAAATATTAAATTGTGTATCATGATTAAACCAATAATAAGTATTGAGACGTTTAGTTTCCGAACTAAAAAATAAGCCAGAAAAGATTTTGGCAAGAAAGAAGTCAGAACTCAATATCATAATGTTGTTTTTCTAACAAATAAAAAACCTTTGGAACAATTTATAAAATTCTATTACTGTTCAGTAGTTTCTGTAAACCCAACAAATTATTTCGTTGTGCTAGTGTCTTTAAAAAATTTATTTCTAAAGAAATAACTAGACTAGAACATTATCTTAAAATAGAATTATTCTGATTTGCAACATCAGAAGTAATCATGGTCTTTACATTTTATGCATTTTGACTTGATAGCAGTTATGGTAATATGGAATAAGGTCATTTTGGCTTAGTATCGATTCAACGCAAAGGTTGCGTATTTTAATATTTTTAATCCAATGGTTTTTGTTTATCGGTGTCGGACTGAATTTGACAAAACCATTTAAAAATCTCCCTGTTTCAGATTCTCAGAACAATTATGCTTTGCAGTATTTTGGTGAAGATTCAATGTGTATAAATCACGATACCTACCTACCATGGATCAGTATAATAGGCGGATTTTTCAGAGATATATCTTTTCCATACGCGAGTTGTCATAAAGTAAGAAAATTGTGTATTTTTATGAATATTTCTAATGATTTATTTAAATCTATTATCAAGCAAACTAGATTTGACTGTAATATTTAATTTCTACAGTGGGAAGATGAAATGTTAGGAATTTTATAGACTGCGAAATACATAATAATTGATCAGCACTAATGAAAACCTAATGGTTTTAATAAAGCCTATTGGATTAAATTGAAAAAATTCTGTAAAACAATGCACGAACTACATAGCCAAAAATCTTGTTGTTCATGAGATAACAAAACTGAGATGGTGGAGAAAACTTATAGCTCAGGTGGGTGATTGTGGTGGTGTTTGGTTCTCTGAGCTGTGTGTTTTGGTTGTGGAGCTTTCATTGTTCTTCTGAACAACATCATCAGCACAAACTTCAGATAGAAGTGAAGCATTCGAATTTCTTCACGTTTGACTAATAGCTTGTTCTGCTAACCTCGATCTTGATTGGTTGCTGTTTATCTGTCGTTGTTTTTAGCTTTTATTTGTTTATATCCCTCTTTTGATCTGTTTCTTGATCCTATGTTTCCTATGATTTTTCTGATTGGTTGGTAAATTGGGTCAGTGTCGATGTGTTTGTTGATTGCTGAATGACTTGACTGCTGAGCTTCTAAAAACTTCATAGTGTTCATTTTACTCCCTCTGTTTCAACATTTTTCCAATCGAAAGGCTCATAGTTGTAATAAAGTATTGTTAATGTTAGAATAAGGAATATCGCGGCGTTTGGCTGCTAATTGATGTTTATGTAAGTGAAGCTGTGGAGAAGGTCCACATTGTCCGATGTTGTGTTTTTCGCAGTCTGAGCAATTTAGTTTGTAAATGATGTTCAGTTTTTCTTCCTTTGTCATTTTGTCTTTTGGTTTTCATAATATTGATTGAAGTTATCCTGTTAGTTTGTGTGCTACACCTGTTCCAAACGGCTTCAGTAATCTTGTTGCAATTCCTGAAGTTTTTCATTTATGGTGGATGACTCGTTTGTTGGTTCCTGTGCTTGATTTCGCTTCTGTTGATGGTTCTAGTTGATATTTTTTGATGGTGTTGTGTGGATAGCCGATCTTATAGAAGATAGTCATCAGATATTTTTCTTCGTTTTATGTGCATCAAGTGTGCCGCAGTGTCTACGCTCTCTAGAACAAAGTTTGTACGTAGTTGATTTCGTGAGCTTTTTGGTTGTTGCTACAGTAGTTTAAAATTAGTTCATCCAGGAATGACAGATTGATGTTTGATTCCTTTTCCATCGTGAATTTGATGTCATCGAAGCGGTTCCTTTTAATAATGACGAATGAGTCGTCGACATAGAGAACCAACAATTTTGCTTGACAACTGGTAAACTGGACGTATCTAGTCTCTGCATTACAGCTTCCGTGATGAGTCCTGATACAGGTGATCCCAATGGTGTTCCTTTTGTTTGTTCGTAGACTCTGTTGTTGAACCGAAAATACATTGTTCAGCATAGATCGATGAGTTCCAGAAGACTTTGACTCTGAAGCTTTGTATATTTTTGCAGGTTAGTGTCGTTGATGAAGAGCAGGGAAAGAGTTTCTTTGGCTAAGTTTGGCTTTGTTGAGGTGAATAAGGCTGTTACGTCGAAGGATGTCATCGTCTTGTCGTTGTCGATTTGAATCCCTTTGAGTTTATCCAAGAATTGTGTGGGAGACTTAATGGAGTATAAGAATCCATCCACGAGATATTTTAATATACCCGAAAGTTCTCTTGAAAAGTTGTAGGTCGGGGTTCCAGAGAGCGATACAATAGGGCATACTGGAATTTCGGGTTTGTGGAGTTTCAGCCTTCAGTAGAATCGTGGAACTACTGGTCCATTGAATTTCACTCTCCATTGATCTTGTTTTGATATTTATCCCCATTTGACAAGCCTGTTTAGAGTACTTGAGATTTGATTGTCCAACTTTTTTATTGGGATTGTGTTGATTGGTTTATATACGCTAATGTCCTCAAGTAGCTCCTCGGCTTTCTTGACATATTCTTCCTTGTCCAAGATTACTCTGGTGCGTCCTTTGTCCGCTGGAACTATGAATATATCTTCCCTGGTTCTGAGTTTATTTAGGGTTGTTCGTTGTTGTGCTTTTAGTTGGTTGTTATCTCTCTTCCGTCGAGTTAGTGGTACTATGGTTTGTCTTATTTCTTGCTGAGTTTCTTCACTTATTCCGGCCGTTTTGAGTGATGACTCTAGTGCACCGAAGAATTCAAGTTTTGAAGCGTCCTTCGTGTTTTAGTTTGATCCTTTTTGAAGAAGTTGTTCTTCTGTGTCATTAAGTGTTGTTTCGAAAGGTTGAGCATACAATTTTTTGCGTTTTCTTCTGTGGATGGCTTTGAAATCTTGATTAGTTTATCTTTGAGGATGTTTCTTCTTCGTTCTCTGTATCATCTGCTTGACATTTCGATCGCCGTCGTCAACATTGTTAAGTATTCTGATGTGAGTAGTCTCTCTAGTTTTCTGTTTTCTTCATCCATGTTGTGCTGGTATTTGTGGATCCTGTAGTGTGCATAGGTGATCATTAGTTGTAACATGTGTCTTACACTTTGCTCCGCTCTTCGCCATTCCATTGGGCAGTTGATTGGTGGTCTGTATCTGACACTTGTTGGCAGAACATGCTAACGAAGACATTCGTGGAGAAAGTAGAGTTGTTCTTGAGTGGAAGCCTACCTTTTGGCGAAATTCTCCCATTTTCGAACAACGAAAAGCGTTTCACGCTCATATGATTTTGAGATGGTGGAGAAAATTTGTTGCTCAGGTGGATGATTTTGGTGGTGTTTGGTTCTCTGTGACTAGTCAACTTTTGAATGTTACTGTTAAAGAAATGTATATATTCTTTTACACATTCATTTTAAATGCATCTATACGTAATTTCTATTATTTGTGTAAATACGTTGGATATCATTAGTTTTTAGGTTGTAAATTATCTCACTGATTAATGTAATCTGTATATCGGATGTCAATAACTGTGATGCTTTTTGTTTAGTTGTCAGAGTCAAAATAATTTGAAACTTTAGGAAATGGTAGATAACAGGTTTTGAATGACTCGAATTTAAAAGTTTTTGTTATGAAGGCTAGTTTAACGAGGTCAAACGGTAACCTGTATATTAAAATATACTTTATTAAATCTTTGGTGGTATCCACGTGAATCACAAAATTTTAGGGCCAAATATCTTTGAGATCAAATCAGTTGTGCGCTTTACTTCACAGAATTTGTTTACTCTTCAACGATGAATCATCCGTCTACACTTCTTTCACATTTGATATTTTGAACACTTATTATAGTGCTAAATAAGGGACAATATTTCTTTAGAAATGTATGAAAAATAATTTATCTAATTTTTATTGCTTACTCAGGATGCTTAATAAAATTTTGAGATAAAAGGCGTTATCACTCTCTCAGTGGCGCATTCTGTAACCAAGATTTTTGACGACGCACAAATGATTCGCGGTAAACTCAAAGATTTAGAATCTCCTGTAAACTGAAAAAGGGAATTGTTTGAAGTTAGCTCATACACTAAGGGAAGTAAACATACTCTCTATAATTAGATTTCAAAAATATTGATACAGACAATTTCTTGTTTTCTAGTACAACTGTTCGAGTTCTGGCATTGGATTATTTGTCGGAAACCAAGTTACAAACTGTTCTGATGGACAATCTATTCCAATA